CCCCAAAACCCCAAAACCCCAAAACCCCAAAACCCCTTAATTCATACCTAGGATTGAAACAAATTTATTGGTTTTTTTCAGTTCCACTCTCTAGCCGAAAGCGGTAAGAAATAACTAAAAATTCTCTAATTCACCTAGGAATATTAGAAGTTTAGGACTGAAAGAAATCTTAATTTTAGCCTCGACAATTTATGGTTTCACTAAGTTGGAAAGATAATTAAAGTAATTTAGAAAATTTAGAGACTGGAGGGAAAATAAATATCTGCTTCATCTTCAAATTTTTGGATTGGTTGGTCTAAACAGAAAAATTTAAGAATATTATTATGAGTAATTAAATATTTCAAGCCGCAAGAAACTTGGGTTTTGCCTGTAGAAGCTTAGGGAGAAGTTAAGGAAACCTCTAGAGCAACATAGGTTGTACTAACTCCTCCTTTGATTTTAATTCAGTGTACTTAGGAGCTTTGCTTGGCTCTAGATTATAATTTAAAAGGTTTTTTATATAAAGCTTACCTTGAGAGGCGTTTTCTTTGCAAATTGGGTCTTTAAGACTGAACAAAAAGATTGAAGTAATCTGGAATAGGAATCCGATTAAGTAGAACCACTTGAAATTTCCATTGAACAGAAAGATGTCAAACAGCATAGAGTATACAGATGCAGTCAAATTTCCAATGTTCATCAGAGTTGCCCCAGCCATCGATATAAAATATGGAATAAAATTGTATAGAATAAAATTTACCAAAGCAAATCCAAGTAAAAATAATATACAAGGAACAATATCCTGTGGGCTTGTTGAGAAAATATCTGTGAATTCACCTATTAACCATCCCTCAAGAATAGCAAAAACAACCCCAATAGGAGCTTGGAATGCCAAAATCTCACTTATTTGATAGTTTTTCCCAATAAGCCATTCCTGGTAAACATTAGTAGAAGCTAGGAAAAACACACCAATTATTCAGAACAGATCGCCAAAGATAATGCTCATTCTATTGATGTCATCATTATGTTCATATTCATAGATGTCTCAGATAATGACTATGATGACTGAGCAAATGCTTAACACTCAGCTAGCATAATGCAGCCATCAGTATTTGATTCTCAGAAATAACACTGAAAGGAAGACAGCTGATGGGACTGTGAACACCATTAGAATCATCACACTAGTAATCGTCGTGTATGAATAAGCTTTTACTATCAGAAAATTAGCATGGCAGTCTAAAATCCCTGTGATCGATAGGAATACGATATCTTTAAATGTCAGGCTCATAGTTTCAAAGAAATATTTAGATAGCCAAATACACAGGAACAGATATAGTAATGCTAGTTGAAGCATGGGGACACTATGCCCTCTTTCTGCTAGAAGCGTGCTGAATACTCCTCCGCCTACAATTGGGAGTCAAACTATACTGTAACCATTTTCCTCACTTACTTAGAAGCTGGCTTGCGAATGTGTTAAATGAAACTTTCTTCCAACTTGCTCTTTGAAAAATCAAACTTGAGATTTCTTGTCTACTTTCCATTTATAGAATATTATTTTTTAATATATCCACTAATTCTTCTTATTGTGGGGTTTTGGGGTTTTGGGGTTTTGGGGTTTTGGGG